TAAAGAACACTTTGTGATGCTCTTCCCTGCCTACTAAGAAATGTACTAAGTTAAATCATTCCTGAAGGGTCCCCAGTCATTAGCCTGAATTAGCCAGGTCTTACTGTATTTTGCATATATGGTAAAGGCTGAATCAGTCTTTTCAAATGGTGAATCATTTCAGATGCAGAAGTCTCGCCTAATAATCCTGCAAGTGGAAAACCTCGCTGTTCTGCAGAACAGGGCTGCTTTCCTTCACTGCTCTCCTATCTGCAGCATGCCTCAGTTGATGATTGCAAACTGTCCCTGTTTAAGAGAACCGGTGGCAGTCAACTTCAGCTTGTAGATTGTGGAGGAGGGGATCCTTTGCACTTCAGTATTGAGAAACAAATTAGGATACTAAATGCTCTTCACATTTTAACAAGAGGCTGGGGGTAGGGAGAAGAAAACTCTTCTTTTGATGTTCAGGATCGAGCTAACCCTGTTTTGTTTTTCACCTGCTCACTTTCTGTGGTGTACTGAGAGATCCATAGTGAGTGCTCTTTATAACTACAGTCTGCATGGTTTTTTCCCTTCTCTTTGGAAAGCAGCCAGATCAAAATGGCTGTGATCCAAAGCCAAGAATCACTCCCTTTGCTATGGAAATGAGGACTTGGAGGCTGTTCACCATGTGTTCATCATAGAGAGTTCCTGCTAAGAATGATGAGCTGTAGGTGGGGGAAGAGGGCAGCAAAGGTGTGCTTGAACAAATCAGTTCTGAACAAATAAGGATATTTTTGGGGTGCATCTGACTCTTTGCATTTTTAAAAAGGCATTCATAAGGGAGGGGGGAAATTCCAACAAATGGTAGAAATAAGGGAAATAATGTAACAGAATCCCACTGTAGAGTAAAGGGTGTTTCTCTGCCATTAGATTGGAAGGGGTGCTAGAACTCCTACTATCTGATTCATGTGATAAGCTTTTTGGGTTTTGATTTTTTTTTTTTGTGGGGGGGTCATATTCTGGTGCTGATCAAGTGAAGGAAAGGTATAATCATCTAAGCTATACAAATAATCCTTCTTATTTTTAACTATCATATCCACATTCCCAGCTTTAAAGCAGACAAATTGCAAAACCCCTGTGTACATGATATGTTGACATTGGGCAATTTGGTGCTTGTTAACTCAGCAAGGCAGGTTTAAGGCCTCACTTTATCTTCTTCTAAAACATCAGATTTTAATCTTGATGCACAGTGGGATGGGAATATATCCAGTTGGTGAATGCTTACGAAAACTGACTGGCCTGTGCCCAAAGCACGATAGTTTTCCCTTCTCCTGGAAGGGGCAGCTGAGTGAGTGAATTTTGCTGCAAAAGACCTGTGAGGTGTCTTTTTAAGAGGGAAAGGGCTGAACTGTTCACAGACTTCCTGTTGTACCTAGGTATTGCAATACATACGACTTTAAAAGAACAGCCCTGCTCCTTCTCCTCTAGCCCTGTGATTTGGGTAATGTCCTGAAAAGGGAGGGAGCTGGTGACTAAGGCGGTGGTTCACACACACTGTTAAGGCAGCACTGCCTGCGGTCCAGGCCAGTCCTCTCTCCGTGCGTGTGGCTGCAGGTGATCAGGGAGCTTATGCGTAAGCTGGTGTGCCCTCCACGCCACGAGCTAACATGGGGCTGAGGCGGCTGGGAGGGCAAAAGGAGGAGATGGTGTTCTGGGATGGGGAGTTCACCCAGAACTGTAGCCCATGGGGACAGTGGGACTGAGCAGAATCGAAGCAGTAATTCAAAAAGTCTTGGAAGGGCAGCAGTGCCTGCTGTGGCACCTGGAAACACCTCAAAGAAGCCATATCAGAATGAAAATGTCTGACGGATCGCTGAATGAGTCTATACTATAAATTAGTAACGGGCTGTGGGACTTCCTTCCCCCCCCACCTTCTATATCTTAATCAGGCCTCAGGCAGCTTACTAGTGCAATGTGTTTCCTTTCTTTAAGGCATCTTCATTTTAGTTGAAATTCACCTTTTCTTTGTGCGCATTTCAGCGAGGCTGAGGCTTGTCTGAGGTCATGCTGTGAGTCAGTGGCAGCTTTGGGACAGGGTCTGGTGTTCCTTGACCCAGCTGTTCCCCTGCCCATCATACCCCCTTTCCCACGGGGGGACATTCGCATTCGCAGGCGCTGCTCTTGGGAGGCTGGAGAGGCTGCCGGTTCTGGCAGAACTCCACCCGGAGTTACTATGGACCATCTGCTGAAACAAAATTTCTCCCATCCCTTCTGCCCCCTCACTCTTGGATGACTTCATCTTCCCTTCCTCTCTCTGAAAACAAGACAAGAAGCTGTGTAGCACTGCTGGCAGAGTAGCTGTGATATTTTACCCCAAATATGGGTGCACTTCAAAGCTGGATGATTAAATATCTGTGCTGTTTGTCTACTGGCTTGTTTCTAATATTCCAGAGTCCTGTTGCATGAAGGGCTTCAGCCGCTCCATCGAGGTTGCTGTAGAGTTTGACATGACCTCTCATGGTTTTGCTGTGAGTTGTGAGCATAAAAAGAAGTTAGTGTTTTGGGTCTGTATTTTGTACTCTTATTTGCTAATTTGAGCTGAAGAGAAGCTACTGGTTTCTGACTTCCTCTTGCACTTTGGTGTCATTGGGTGTGTCCAGTTTGGAACAGGCTTTTTATTTTTGCTGTAGGTAAAATATTTGTCTGCAAATGCATGCAATTGCATTGACTGATTTTAAATATGGAGGAAGCGTTAGTTCATCTATAATCACGACAGTAATCGTTAACAACATGCATGAAGCTTTTTTCATCTGTGCAGTCTTAAATACCCCGATTCACAAAATTGTGCATTTAAAAATTACAGCTGTTTTTTCTTAAGTGGTATGAGTTCTTAATAAAATGGTGCTGGTGGCATGTCCGTAGTTTAAAAATGGCCAAGTTCATATGGGAAATTTAACAAGCCCTCAGAAGCAGCCTTACATACTTAGGGGGACCTGGTGCACTGTGTTAAGCTGTCGTGGCAGCCCCTGGTGAAAACGGGAGTGGGGTTGCGCTGTCTGATCTGCTGCGTCGGAAGCAGAAGTGAGGTATGCCACATCCTCTGCAGTTCCCCCGGGCAGGAAAGAGTTTACTCAGAGCTGTTCTCTACTCAGCAGTCATACAAAACTAGGAAAGTGTAGAAATGATACTCTGAGAAACATTGCAAAAAACCTGCCTATTCTGGATGACTACGGGGGGGGGGGGGGGGGGGGGGGTTGCTGTCTGACAGCTGTTTGGCCTGCGAGAAAGCAGTTGGTGGCCTCTGCCCTCCATCGAGGGGGGGCAGATGTCCACAGCACAGAAATGACCCCCTAATTGGTGCATTTATTATCTGTGTCCGCAAAGAAACTAGCGTGGCTCTGGTAGCGGCAGCTCTTTGCCCCTAAGATGTGAAGGGGGCACTGCTGGATAACTCACTGCCTGGGCTGCCATGCTCTGGTTTGAAGACATTTGTAACGCTGCGATTTCACTTCGACGCTATGGTCGGTAGCCTCAGTGACCCTCCTGGCTGGAGGTGGAACGGCTGTGGAGGTGTCCAGCACCAGTTCCCGAGTGCTCTAGTTAGATGTGGTCATAGAGGGGGCTTGTGGAAAATAAATACTGTAAATATTTTTTTCATGTATATGTGGCAACCTGAGTTCTTCACGATATAGCTGTCTGTTCTGTTAATTGTGTTGTAACATTTTTCTCCTCTTCAAACATATTATGTGACTGCTTATTTGTCAGCTCTGATGAGCGCTTTACTCTAGTTATTCAGCTTTTTGTTGCTGTTTTTTTTTTTTTAACCTCACAGAGTACAAAATAGAGATCTTCCTGAAACCTTTTTTGCTATGCTTTCATGCAAAGGCTTTGCATTAGATGGATGTACAACCTTTTATCACTTTCGCTTGTAGACAGGCTGTGCAGAGAGAAACATGCTCAAGCCATGTTCAAAGTCTTTTGCTTGGGAATGGCAGACTGGGGTTTCTGCAACAAGCAGCTTTGGAAAGCAGAATGGTTTTTCCCAGCCTCTGCCTGTGCTTGGGGACCTACTGGGAGGCAAGATAGGAGATGGACTCTGATTCTTTTGCTCTCCTTAGAGACTGGAGTAGAAATATTTTTCTCATCTGTAAAGGCAAGATGCTATATGGAGGCCCCTCTTTTTCCTGCAAACACAGATTGAGGGAGATCTTGTATGACGGGAAGACTCTGTCACTGCCTCGCAGAGGCGAGGGCACCCTCCAGGGTTAGCGTTCACGTGAAGTGTTGTACCCATGTCTCCTTCCAGGATTCACAGCGCTGGAATTTTCCATGCCAGTCGGTTCCTCTCTATTCTGACTCAAGCTTTCTTGAAAACTTTCTCAAGAGAAGAAGTGCTACAGACACACTAAGTTATTTGAGTCATTAGCTTGTTTCCATTACTCCTTTCTGCCTAGGAAACTAATTTTATTATTTTTCAGTGAGATTTTGGAATTAGAAGAAAGGAGTAGAAGCTAGCTAACATGTGGAACCACTTCACAGGCACACCGGATTTTGAGAACTTGCATTTTTATTTACATCTTCTGGACCCTGTCTGACTTGAAAGTAAACAAGTTCAATCTGAGACCAGATTTATCCCTGAAAATATGTGGAGGCTTGTCTAAAAACTTCTTGTAGGATAAGGAATTTCCTTTAATAAGAAAATACATTTACAATTGGGAAACTGACACTTATCAGGGAACGCTTTCTGTAAAACCCTCTTAAAGTGAAGTTCAGTTGTGCGTATTATAGGACAGTCTGAAAGCTTCTTAAAAAGGGGTCAAGAAAAGTAAAACTAGTTGAAAACTTGGCAGGTCTAAAGCAAGTCATCTGTGAGCGTAGGCGTAGTGAGTGGAACTGTATTTTTGTGGTTTTGCAAGATGGGGGATAGTGCAGGTGAGAGGGGGTTGTGTAGAGGTCCTTGACAGGTGTCTTGTAGCAGAGCATGCAGATCCCTCCATGCATAACTGACCACCTTCTTTTGAAATTCCTCTTCTCTGCAGACACAATGAGGCGAGTGGTACGACAGAGCAAATTTCGGCATGTGTTTGGACAAGCAGTGAAAAATGATCAGTGTTACGATGACATCCGCGTTTCCCGTGTTACTTGGGATAGCTCCTTTTGTGCAGTAAACCCCAAATTTGTTGCAATAATTGTAGAAGCTAGTGGTGGCGGAGCATTCCTGGTGCTGCCTTTGCACAAGGTAAGTGCTCTGAAAGTTTCTCCTTACTACGTTTTCAGCTTTCCTTTGTCATTTCAGCAATTGTTTATGAATAGCATTAAGCCTGAGAAATCTCTGCTGTGTTGCCGCTTGTGAATGACACATGCTGCTCAGTAGTGCCCTGTACAAATGCATGTAATGTCTCTGCAGTCAGTCTAATGCTTCCTGTAAATTAAGCACAGTAAATAAAAGTTGTTTGCTTGAGTAATCTAAACCTATGCTATATGGCAGAAATTTCTAAGTAGAAAGATACTCCTTATGAAGCTATTCTACTTGTGATAGCAGTGTTCAGTTTTTTCACTGTCAAGGATTTAGCTTTCTGAGCTCTGCAAGTGTCACTTAATTCAAGAATGGACCTGAACCTAGTTACTCCTTGCAGACCAGAATCAGGTGCTTCCTCCCATCTCAGATAGGGAAGCAGCCCTTAAGTTCTCTACTGTGAGATGAAACGCTGCTGTGGCTCCAATAAATAATCTTGCAGTGAGGCTGTATACATGCTGTGCTTCTTCCCCTTCTGCTTTGAATTTGTGTGTAGAATCCCAGGGATGTGCTTTGCAAAACACACGGAAAAGTTAGGTTCCTGTCCATCAGTAGCTATGAGAATGGTTGAGTGACAGATTTGGAGGGAGGCTGGCTGAAGAGATGGATGCAGAAGCTTTCATGACAGCTTCTTAAAGTTCTGTGGTGTAAAAGCATATGAATGAGCATGAGCAGTGTCTCAGACTGAAATAAATTCCTGCTACCCCCGGATATCACTTTAAAAGATTACAACCGGATCCCTGTTCTCATAGTTTAAAAAAAAAAAAAAAAAAAAAAAAAAAGCATCAAACCTAGATGCTCACTTCCCTTCATAACTTTTTTTCACTTCCTTTAATGAAACTTTACAATTTGAAGACAAGTAGCTTGGTAAAATATAAGGGAAACAAGTGGCCCTACGAATGATTTGGGAGAGCAAGATATGCTCTTATTAGGATCCTCAAATATGCATGTTTGATGCTTCTAAAATTACATGTCTAGCTTCACGTACATGTTAGGTGCAAATGTAATTATTGCCATGTTTGAGATTAGTATCCTGGATATTTGACAGAACTTAGGAAAAGTATTTCTGTGTTTGACTATGGTGTTGGTTTAGAGAGGCAGTTAGCAGTTGGCTTATGTTGTGAATCACAGCAGTTATAAAGCCCTTTAGGAAAATGGTTCTTTCCAATAGACTGGTACTAGATCGGGAAGCATGTTGCGATGGAGTGTTCCAGGAGTCTCACAAAGTGTTTCCATATCCCTTTAAAAATCCCCCGCCCCTTTTTTGAAATGTTTTTCTTGATTCTCCATGAATAAGATTTAAAAAAAAAATTATATTCTTTCTCTGTAATGTTATTTTTATGTCTTTGTCACCCTCAAGCTTCTTTCTTATCTAAACACTCCGTTATGTCTTCCCTTATGTCATCAGCCCTGTCCTTTTTTTCTAGCTCCATTTGCAGATCTGCCCTATTTGTATATAGAAATAGTGACCAGAATTGAACAAGGCGTTCCAGGTGGAGAGTGCATTAGGGGAGCAGAGGGCTGGAAGGACCTTCTGGGCCAGTTCGTCTAGTGCTCTGCTGTAGCAGGCCACCACAATGTGAATTCCTTTCATAAACTGCCCTATTTTAAAACTGGCCTTTTTTCTTTACCCACTACTTCCAGTGGAAAGTTATGCCAGAACCTCACTCCTCTCGTGGCCAGAATCTTTTTCTTAATTCTGACGTAAATGTGGCTTTTCAGCTCCACTTTCTTTTGTACCAAGATTATCCTTTAATTTAAGTGACTGCTTTCCCCCTCCATGGCATTTACAAGTAGATCCTGAGGTAAGCAGCAAGTCCCCGCTTACGCCTTAGCTGTGCTAACCTGGCAAGCCAAGCTCCTAGTCTGCTCTTACGTAGCTCTCCATTTTGCTCATTTTATTAGCAGCCCTTTGCAAGAATCCTGGTTGGTGTTCATCTTTTGAACGTGTGTCCTGGTCTTGCCCCAGCCTTGTACGATGGCACCGATTTCTAGAAGAAATTCCTTCCTTGCTCAACACGATACAGTTACACTTGTGTTGCAGCACAATGGCAAGGCATAATCAAGCTATGGTCGGGGGGTACGCTCACCCCTCTTTTTTCTTATTTCTGAACAGAAATTCCTGCTAATCCCGTGTGTGTGATCTGGCATTCTGTGCTGAGTGTCCTCCAATGTTTGTTTTTTTACAATTTTTCAGTTATTCCTTCCTCTTTGTCATCATTGCCTTTGTCCTCAGCAGCGTTCCTGTTCTTTGTTTTGCAGCTATTTAATATTAATGCATGACAAGATTTGATGGAAAGCTGGACCTTGAGGAACTCTGTTGCTAAACCTCTCACCCTGACGCTTTCTTTTGCTATGGAACATGTTGCTGGCTTTGCTCTAGCCAGTTCCTGTATTCCTGATTTATTTTTATATTCTGGGTTCATGAAATTGTTTCTTCAGTTCCCCGAACACACCAACATGTTTGTATTAGAGCGCCACTAAGCCCTTTTAGCAGAAGTATTTGCTGAGTTCTCACAGTAAGATCTTTGCTATTATGCTCAGGAAAAAGGAGGTTGATTTTTATACCTTGGTTTTGGTATGGTTTCATCATTGAACCATAAAAATGCACTTGATGCAGTTCCGAACACTAAGGCGGCTGCAGAGAAGTGCCCCTCTTGCACCTTAATTGCCTTGTGACTGTTCAAATTCAGCAGTGGGTCACTGTAAAGCGCTTCTCATGCGGCTTGCCCTTTTGCAAAGGGTTAGCTGAGCCTATGTTTCAAAGGGCCTGTATAATCACAGAAGTCGAGTTTACTTATTTTAAATGTCTTTTTCGTTTCCAAGTTTTAATAATAATTTTTTTTTTTTGGTGTGGCAGTGGCTTTTGGTTCCCCTCAAGTGGTTCTCCGCTGCCACACAGGGCCATTTACAGAGCAGACAGCACAGGGGGTTCAGGAACGCCTGGGTTTGAGGTGGGGTGGATGAGTTATGAGCTGGGTAAAAACCATTTTGACTGCATTTATCCAAAAATCTGATGTGCTGGAAAGGAAGATGAAGGGGTTGGTTTCTTCCCGAGTTTGTATCTTCACGGACAGCTCTGACCAGCTAGCTGATGTGTCTGTGGAAAAAAATGTTATCTTGCTTTGGCCAGAGGACACAGGCACACATGCATGCATATACACATACATATGTATAGAAAGTGTATGTATATATAAAAATATGTATATAAATAAAAATATGCACACACAGAGACATATTTTAAAGTGCGTGTGTGCATATATATTTTTATATGTGTGTGCTTATTTTAATATGCGTGTGTGTGTGTACCTGTATATTCCCCCCACCGCGATACAGGAAAGGCCCGCCGCCGCGCTGCGCTGCAGGTGCCGCCT